GCTTGTGATCAGTTATTAAGACAAAATTCCTCCCATATAAGTACTGGTGAAATATATTTACTCAAAATATGATAGACAAAGTCTCTTTCTCTATTTGTGCATAATTTTTCTCGCTTTGGGTAAGATTTCTTGAGGCATATGCAATGGGTCTTTCTTCACTGTTATCCATTATGTGACTTATGACAGCACCTAATCCATAGCCTGATGCATCACAAACAAGGTTTAGTGTTCTACTGGTATCATAGTGGACCAAAACATCAGTACTAGACAGAGCTGCTTTACAATCTCCAAATGACTTCTGAGTTGCACTGTTCTATTTCCATGGAATCCTTTTCTTTAACAGTTCATGTAGAGGGGCTAAAACTGATGAAAGTCCACTCAAGAACTTTGAATAATACCCAGGAAAGCTTTCAATTCACTGACATTTTTTGGAGCGGATAAATTTACTATGGCTCTTACTTTATCTTCTACAGGTCTCAGCCCTTCTGCATTCACTTTGTAGCCAAGATAAGTTACTTCTTTCATTAGGAATGAACATTTGCTCTTGTTGAGCCTGACATTGTGTGCCAACAATCTTTCGATTACTATGGCTAGTTTTGACATGATTTTGGATGTCACTGTCAACAATAAGGACATCATCCTGAAAACATAACACATTTGGAAGACCCACAAGAATTTTGTCCATGATGCACTGAAATAACTAGTGCACTTTTAACACCATAAGGCAACCTATTGAACTTATACAATCCTTTATGAGTGTTGATGGTAAGGTACTGCTGACTTTCAGCATCAACACAGACCTGAGCATATGCTTGGGACAAGTCTAACTTGGTGAAAATGGTTCCACCTGTTAGTGTAGCAAACAAATCTTGAGACGTGGGTAAGGGATATTGCTCTTCCTCAACAGCTTGATTAATGGTAACTTTATAATCACCACATAGTTTTAACAGATTTATCTGCTTTAGGTACAATTACTATAGGAGCAGCCCAATTGCTCTTGGCGGTTTTCACAATTCCCTCACTCACAAGTCTGTCTAATTCCTTCTCAACCTCACCTTTCATTGCATAAGGAACAGGTCTGGACTTAGCATATATGGGTGTAACATCTTTGTCAATGGTGATATGAGCTTCATAACCCTTTATACCATCCTGTCCCTTAACAAATAAAATCTTGTATTTTTCAAGCAATTTCTCAAGACCTGGAACACTGTTACACATCCTAACACTAAATATCTCCTTCCAGTCCATCTCAAGTTCACACAACCAGTTCTTACCGAACAAAGTTGGTCTATTCACATAACTAGCTATAATTAATGGCAACTTTAAATTCTGATTTTTGTACTTTACCTCACACTCTAATTTACCTTCTGTGTTCAAAATCTCTCCAGTATAGGTTCGCAACTTAACACCTGAGTCTTCTAAAGGCACATACACAAATAGCTTCTCATGCATATCTCTACTCATTATGGAGAAATCAGCTGCAGTATCCACCTCCATGGTTACAGTTGAGTAATTAATGCACAAGTCCACATTATACCTATGTTTAACTTTCTCTTCATGACTGGTGTAAATAATAAACACATGGGCACTCTCATCATTATCAGGTTCACTAACACTCATGAGTACTGTTTTTCATTTCCTTTTCATCACCTTCAACGACATATACTCTACCTTTATCACTTCTGGCAGGGGCTGTAATTTCTTTTTCACAGGTAGGAGCAATATGTCCAAATACGCTGACAATTGTAACATCTTTCAGTTTCCCTAGGCATCTCTTACATTTTAAATCAGCATGTGTTCCTTGTTTTGTGGCATAATTTTTCCTTTTAGCTACAGTTACTTTACACACTGAGCCACTACTGCCAACTGTTTCACTACCGGCATTGGGAACAAATTCTCTGGTGTTTTTTCTCTGTTAATTCCATGCTATGTAATTGTAACTATCTGACATGCATTTTCAAAAGTTAAGTTAGTGGTGTTCATTAACTTATTTTGTATTTTTTCATAATTCAGACCTATCACAAACCTGTCACTTCGAGCTCGGTTCAAGAACTGTCCAAAGTTACAGTGAATGGATAACTTCTTCAAAGTTACTATATAATCAGGTACTGGTTCATCTTTCCCTCTATCTCTGGTGCCAAATTTGTAACTTTCAGCAATCTCAAGTGGAGCAGGATCAAAATGTTGCTTCAGAATCTTGGTAATCTGAATCAGTGAGAAGTGTTTGGGTTTGTCTGGAGCAAGCAGATTGACCAGAGTAGAATGAACATTAGCTCCTACCTCTGTCAAAAAGATTGATTTCCTTTTCTCTTGAAGGGGCTTCTTCTTTTGAGCATCACCACCGTCTTCCGTTAATTCATTTGCCAGGAAGAAGTCCATTCTCTCACAATATGATGTGAAGCTCTCCTTGTTTGCATCATACTCCCCCACTCGTCCCATGTATCCACTGACGCCAGCCATGGTTGCTCTCTTCACTCAAATTCTCCAGGGTCAGAGTAGCCTTCCCTTCAGTGGTCACTATCCTCTCTTCAAGGACTTCACCAACACTTTGTGAATCCCAATCTCGTCGCCAGTGTAGTATCTACACGAATTAATGGGAGAATGAGAAGCCACATACATGCTCAGTCTTGCTCAGAGCATTTATTCGTTATTGTTGTGTACCATGTGCCTAACACATTCGTGATTATACAGGCCTAAACACATTCTAACTTTGGTAAGAAGTAACATAATATATAATGTATATATAATCAATAAAGGCAGCATATAAACATACACATATATAACAACGTTATGTGTCATATTTCAAGTCGTTAAAAGGCTTTCAGATACCAGGTGGGAGAGTTAAATTTCATGCACTACAGAAAGTAATCCTTAACCAAGCAAACCAGGATGCCCAAACATTTTCTGACGCCCGAAGCTTGTAATAAAGAAGTGCATTCTTTCCAATTCCTTGTTAGCACTGTCATCTGGTACAATATTCTGAACCAATTAATAAAGTTAGCAAGTTAATGCACAGAATTGACATACCACTAGACCAGTGGTTCCCAAACTTTTTGGGTCGCGACCCTAAATACAATCTTCTCCTGGCCTGGCGACCCTAAATGTGGGTACATGTAGTGTTAATTACCGATCATTTGATATGTTGTGTTTATTCATATAGTTTTATTTAGTTAATTTAAGTGACTAACACAATGAATTTCAATAAGTTTTTAATTCGATGAAATGAAAAACACCAATTTTCATGAAAATAAGATTTTATAACACAATTCGGGAACCTATCTGACAAACCAGATTTTTTTCGTGGCTAACGTGATGCTGCTTTATTCTTGGAGCTTGCTCATTTGAATTTTGATTGTACTGTATGGTGATAAATTTTAATAATTATAAAAATAAATTTCAGTAGCTTTTTTAATAAAACAAATGAAAAGGATATGTAACCTAATTTATTATAATAGCAAACTAACATAGAAATGAGAGAAAAATACTATATAACACTTCTTAGCATAAAAAAAGCAAGCACTCTTGCACTAAAAACAAAACACCATCAAGGTGGTTGGGTGTCAAATAACCCAAACTCGAAAAATAACGCTTATTTACGTCTGCTCATATGCTTCAATTTCATTAAAAATCTCCTTGAATGAAACAAGATACTTAAAAATCGGCTATTGTAGGAGCTACCCCGGTAACTACACAAGTGTTATAAATTAAGAATAAAAAGAAATTAGCTATGGGTTTTTAACACCAGTGACTGTAATGGAGGGTTAATTACAAAGTTTGATAAGAGAAAAATCAAGGATTTTCTCTGGTTACCATGATAGTGCTTTATTTCGTAGGTAAGCTCCTCTAAGTTTGATTTTATGTTGATAGATAGAGCACAGTGCAAGTCAGGCTGAGGATCCACGCGGTTCTTCGCTTTAGTCTTGATCGTAACAAGACCTGAAAATCTTTGTTCACAGAGATATATTGTTGGAAAGGGGAGAAGAGCCTTTTCAGCCTCCTGAGTCAGAATGAGCTTATCCTTGAGTTGGATCCAAAATTTCGAATACTGGAGGATTTCAAAGCGTTAAGCTTCTGCACTTGATTTTCCTAAAGGTCAATAAGATCTTCTTGAAATCCTGGAATATCTTATCCAATTTCACTGACGTTCACATTGCGCACATTCCTGATTCAGCTATGCTTTTCGAGGTCAACGTTTTCTGGAAAATACCTGTCCATTTCTTCCTTGGCACACAAGTGTTGGACGTAAACGTACTCGAACATTTTAAGTGTACGTACAGTGGTCCCTAGGTTAACGAGCACAATTTGTTAACCGAAACTATTGTTTCAATGGGTTTTTGGGGAATTGGTTCCAGCTCACCGAAAATTGCCTAAAGTCAACAAAAAAGGTAGTAAAGTACACTTACTTTGAGGTGTGTATGTAGAAGGCTCCTGGATGATGATGATGATGGGAATTAGAATGGGGGTGGAGGAGAAGGGAGAAGAGAAGGCATTGGGGTGGAAGAGAAGTCACCCCATGCTGCCATTTCACCCATAAAATTTTAGCTCTCTTGGTGTAATTCAAGATTATTTTCTTTAAATCAACACTGCACTGCATTATATATTGTCAATATGTAAAATAAATTTCAAAATGACCAATAATTTGCTTGGAAACACAGAAAAAAAGCGTTTATGTTCAAGAGAGTCTGAAGCAAGATGTTACCTCCACTGAAAAGACACAAAGACTGACGTCTGTATGGTGTGTTAACAGGCTGTTTGGCGCGCAAAAAACTAGCTTCCTATACTTCAATTATGTTCAATAATTGTTAAAATGGCTAAAAAATTTAATATAAAACTTTTAAAATTATTGAACAGTACAAACTTCTTGATATTGACTAAAATAGTAAGGAATTTAAGCCGTAGAACAGATTACTGTATTGGCGGACTAATACTACAGCTGGTGGATCGCCAAACGCAAGCAAAAACATGTGGAGGGGCGCTCGTAAGAAATTCGTTAATCGAGGGATTGCTCGTTAACCGAAATTAATAATCTTATGGAAGGTAATTCGTTAACCTAGGAGCTCGTTAACCGAGGGATCACTGTATATGGATACTTTATTATCCACATCTATTCTACTTTAGTTAGCATTTCAATAATTCTTCATATTGTGCCAGTGACGTGATCCAATTATAACATTGTAAAAATTCATAATTTTGCCTTTTTTTCGAGACCGTCCCGTGACCCTCATTTGGGTCGCGACCATGGGTTTGGAAACCACTGCACTAGACAGTAGCATTACTGAAAAGCACAAAAAATCCTTTGAGGAGGCCATAAAGGTTGCTTCAGATATACAACTGGCATTTGATGAGCCAATAGAGGCAGTGTTTCCTGAAAAACGAACGATGAAAAGGAAGCTGCTTTTCATATATGAAGGGGCAGATGAACCCATCAGAGGGGGAAAAGATGCATTCAAAATAAATTACTTTACTGTTCTTGTACATGATGCTGTAGCTGAACTAGAGGAAAGGTTTGAACAAAAACCAAGTATGGTTTTGTTTGTAACATTTTTTCACTGAAATCAACGACACCAGAAGATTTGGAGATGTATAAAGATGCTGCACAAGACTTTCGGGGAACATAATTGCTGATGAAATCCTTACAGAAATCAGGAGCTTTATGGCTCTGTGCTCAGGAAGCCAACTGCAACAGCCAACTGCAATGTCTGTTTTACAGTAGTATCTATATCAAAGCCATTTAAATTACATCCATCCCAATTTGTGTGACATTTTGTGGATTTTCTCACTGCCGATTACAATAGCCTCAGGAGAAAGGTCATTCTCAAAGCTGAAGATAATAAAAAAAAACTCTGCGTTCATCCATGCTTGCTTGCACCGTGTAAGCAAACATAAACCACCAAAGCACTTTTGAAATTAAATTTGCAAATGCTATTCTAAGATTCTACTATTTCAGGAAGGGCACATGCATATGCACATATGCATTAACGAAACATATTAAATCTCATTAAGCATTAAATACTATTTAAAAATAAAGTGTGATTTTGAAGAAAGAAAAAAAAAATATCTATAAATATTCACAGAATTTCTTCAGTGTTACAGAAATAGTATTTCTACATAAAAAATAGATTTGGGATGCCCAGTGCCATTGTCCTCATTTTGTACAGCGCTCGCACAGCCCTTAAGCCGCCGCTGCCTGTAAGAAGAAGTTCTCTGATAAGATGTTTTGTTACTCGTGACTTAAGGGTTTTAGAATTAAAGTATATGTGAGTTCTTCCCTGGAACACTTTATCTTTAGAATTGTAAATTGATGGCTAATTATTATCCTGCACTCTTCAGTTAACACCAGAAATAATGGCTCTGACCTTTGAACCCACAATAAAAAAAATAAAATTCATCCCATGAGCAATGCGTCAGTCAAATTTCACGATAAGTAGTAATTATAATTTCAGTTATCAGAAGTGATCTTGACTTTGATCTTTCACAAAATATTAAAAAGTCCTTTGTTTAACCAAGAACAATACACCCACATAAATTAATGGTAATCTGTGAATAGAATCTGAAAATAATAGAGGAAAGTCTTGTGTACCGTTGAAGGGATAGATGGCTAAACTGAAACAAGTATGTCCTTCTAAACTTCGATAGTGGTGATCAGCTTGAATGTCTGTGCTACTTACGTCATTAAATATCTGATCTTAAAGTTTATATCGACAAGTAGGCTACTGGTCTTTGCCTTACAATACAATACAGGTTGGGATGGGTGTTCCAAAAATTTTTCATATATTAATTGCACTCAGTATTTATAATTAGTTTATTCGAAGTAATATAGTTATTTCGTGAATCTTTATCAGTCGGAGAGCATCTTACTTTGGAGAGGATGTGATGATCTACTCTAAGGGAGGGACGTCTGTATTGTCCACAAAGTCCGGGGAGTTCGGTCTGTCAAATGGGGGGTTGAGGCTGGCAGTGGTGGGTTGAAGGCTGCTGCAGATAGCGGCGGTGTTGACGGAGTCATTGATGGAGTCGTTGACGATATTTGTGTAATCCATGTCACTCTTCTTCTCCCCTACCTCTAAATATTTGAGATCACTGTAACACATTGAATATTTTATTTCAGTAAGTCATAATATGAGAAGCATAAATGTAGAAAGTTATCTACCAGAAAAAGGAATACCAGAAAAATATTTAAAGCAAGAAATTTGACGATTTCAACCTGCATCTTTTGTTGATCAAATTTGCTAAAGATCACAAAAGAAAATATAGCATGCAAACAATCATTTCTATAAAGTATTATGTAATGTTATCATTATCAGAGCCTATCAGTGCATAATTAACCTACAGTCGAGGGGATACTTTTTCGACACCTTTTGACAATATCCGAATGTTTGTCTGAACAAATTGCAGTAATGGCAAACTTTATTTTTCCTTGTCAAAGAAATACAAAGTCGTAGTGCTAGATAGGTTTAGACGGAATTGCCAGGTGAGACTGTAGTGGATACTCTCCCCTACAACTGACAACCCTAGCCGCATTCCAATGCGACAGGATTCAGCAAACCGGCGAGTTTCTCGGGGGGCCACCCTGCGACGCTTGCATCCGGTTTTACTTCCGGTGGCCGAGTATATAAACTCTCTGTCTTGCCATTGAAGTCCATTCTACCCTACGTTCCTGAACCGGCAAGACCTCCAAACAAGCTCCTCACCAACCAGCAACTCTCTAGCACTGCACTGTACATACAATATATATACAGAAAATGCATTGTTTGTTTTTAATCTACCTCAATCCTGAGTGTGAAATATCTACATGTACGTACGTATGTGAGCCCATACAAAGGGAATTTGACAGCTGGCCATATACAGTACACTACAAGACATTCAAATAAGGTTAGGTTAGGTTACCCCCAGAAGCCAAGCAGGATCCTTCTGAATAACTTCAACTTGTCTTTGAAGGACCTTATAGAGTTGTAATTTAGTAAGCAACATGGTATATAGATTGTGAAATATAGTCATGGAAAAGGAAAGGCCGTGTAATATGGATTTTATTACAACCGGAACTTGTGTCCAACTAAAAAATGTAATGTGTGGAGAGGATATCATATCCAGCGCATAACAGTAAATAAGTGATTCAACAGAGGAAGTGAGCAATGTTACCTCATCTTCTAAACCTCATTCAAATTCTTTAAAAATCAAGAGGATGAAGTCTGTGAGAATATTTATGGTTCCTCAGGAGGTTAGTCCTCCTGTCGTGGGAATCGCCAACTTCGGTAACAAGGCCAAAGCTACTGCAGAAATGCACGCCGGTAATACATATTCTAAGGATTTCGTGTATCCCATGATTATGCAGATTCTTTGTAACATATATAGGGATGACAATGAGAATAATTTAAAACAAACTGTAAATAAAGAGCATTATTTGTTATTTAAAAAAAATCCTATCCTAGGTTTACCTAAAAAAAAATGGTATTGTTTGGCTTTATTTTCTATTATGTACCATTATCATTTCTTACTTCTCTGCATTTCTCTGGTTCTTTTCTTTAGTCTTTCTTTCGTATACAGAATGAGGGTAAGGAGGGGAGTGAGGAAGAGAGGGAGGAGGGAAGGCCTGTGGTTGAGGGAGGTGGGGTTGCCTGTGGTCAGTCTCTATTCACAACTCTGCACATGGGTGACATAGATAAAATGGTCGTTAATGCACTGGGATTGATGCAGTAGTGCAATACAGTTCAGTCTGTGCAACTGAGCAGCCCTTTCCAGAACCCACTCTGCTCATCCCACACGGGGAGGGGGCTAGAAAAGGTGCCCTAAACATAGCCTGCCTAAAAAAACAACCTGACTGGACAATCGCACCTAGAAAGGTCATCTTAATGCCCCCGAAAACATAACCATAATCACAGATCAAAGCAAAAACAAACTTTACAACGTCTTATGGTCGCTGCATGGAAAGTGAGGACCCTCCTGGATACTTGCACGAATGAGCATTCTGAAAGAAAAACTGCCCTTCTTGCACAAGAGCTGTCTTGGTATAACATCGAAAAAGCAGCCATTAGTGAGCCCTGACTCCCAGACGAGGGTCAACTGACCTGAGGTGCCGGTAGAACAGAGGACACTGAGGGCAGTGCCCCGCCGCTCATCGTCTCGTAGGCCTACAGTTTCCAAACTTTAATTTTTACTTATATTTCTTACAGTTCTCACATGAACACTTTCCTGTATATTGTAACCTCATGCCTTATAAACACATATTTTTATCCTAAATTACACACTAAGGTAAAGTTCTGGTTTGCTAGTTCGTGGGTAAATTCATTGGGTAATAATATCAACGCGGCACACTCGAGGCGGGTACAAAGGACGCTCCCTTAAAACAAAAGCCGAATGTTCATGGCGTGGGTATATCCACTTCACTTAAAACTGTAATTAGGGATCCTCCTCTCACACATTGCACTATTTGAACACAGACATAAGATTCTTTGATCACTGTACCTGTCGTGGGTATACGTCACGCGAGGATACGAGGTGTATTAAGTTCACACTGATTTTTCCTTTCAAGTATAGTTTCTGGGTCACTTCCAACACCTCACATAGTTCTGGTACATTTATCCTTTTTCCAGATCAATGTTCTCATGTTTTTTCATATGATATTTGTGGAAGTTATGTTCGCTACACGTTCACAGACGTAAATAGTATGACCTTCAAACCATGATCCACACTTAGTCCTACAGTACACTAGTCCGGCTCAACTGGACTTTCCCAATCATCTTATGGATACCCTGAGTTCTCCTTAATACTATGAATACATACAATTAATATTATATAACCGTACCTGGGTACAATACAACACATGATTCAGTAACATTGAGTAGGTGAGTTATCCTTTATCAATGTTTCCCGTTTTCTGAGATTCTACAAGGATGGTGGATTTGAATGTTTTATAGTGTAATATGAATTAAAGGGGGTTTTTAGGAATGACAATGATGTGCGCAGTACACCACGATCCAAACATTGGCATCTCATTGACTACATCATTGTCAGAGAAAGAGATTGCCAAGATATCTTCATCACCCGACCCACGCGTGGCTGAGACCACTGCGACACTGATCATCGGCGCGTCAGAGCCAAACTCTCCCTTCACGTCCCCAAAACGACGAAGACAACAAACCTCCAGAAGAGATTTTAACACCAAGCGACTGGAGGATCCAGCTGTAGCACATGCTTTCAGAGAGCAGTTCATCTATGTGCTGATAAACAATCCAACAACAAACAAGCAAAATTCGATTGCCGAATGGAGTCCCATCAAAGCTGTCATCACAAAATCCTGCAACGAGACCCTCGGTCAGATCAAAAGGAACACCAAGATTGGTTTGATGAAAACAACCTGGAAATCGAAGTACTCGTCACTAGTAAACGTGCTGCTCTCACTGACTGGCAGAGCAACCCTAAGTCTTGGACCAAAGCTGATACCTTCCACGAGAAGAAAGCAGGAGCCCAGCGCAAACTTTGAAAACTAATGAAGGAATGGTGAAAAAATATAACGTATGAAACGCAAAAATTTGCAGATTCAATTTTTCAATTTCCGCTAAAACAATAGATGGCTCATCTACTCATGGGGTGGCCCCCCTCCGATCTTCAGATGGTAACTCCCAAATTAAAGATGAAGAAGGCATACGTCAGTGCTGGAAAGAGCACCACCATTCGCTGCTCAACCGTAACACTAATGTGGATGTTCTGACTACCCAGCAGGTTCCGTAGCACCCAGAACTGAACCACCTCAGCTATCCTCCATCCCTGAATGAGGTAGCTACAGTACTGCCATCAAGCAGAAGAAAAATAACAAAGCCACAGGGCCTGATGGAATCCCAGCCGAGGTGTATAAAGCAGGGAGACCTCTGCTTACCAGCCGTCTCCACTCTCTCCTGGAGAATATATGAGAGAAGGAGGAAATCTCCCAAAATCTTAAAGATGTCTCGATCGTCAATATTTATAAGAACAAGGGAGACTGGTCAGACTGTTGTCTGTAGCTGGCAAGATTATCTTGCAAGTCCTCCTAAACAGACTTCTTCCTGAGGCAGAAAACTTCCTCCCCAAATCTCAATGTGGCTTTAGAGGTTAGACCATCACGTGGTAACACTGACATGATATTTGCTGCCTGCCAGATACAGGAAAAGCGCAGAGAACAGCGTTGTGACTTGTACAGGGCCTTCATTCACCTTACTAAGGCCTTCGACTCGTCAACAGGGAACCCCTCTGGTGGACCAGTCCGTTTTGGCTGCCCACCAAAATTCATTGACATTGTGAGGCAACTCCATGATCGCATGAATAGCAGTGTTCTGTACAATTGCACCCAGTGTGAAATCTTCCCCATCCAAACTGGGATAAAACAAAGATGTGTACAGGCACAGTCTCTCTTTTCCATTTTCTTGGCTGCTTTCCTTACTCATGCCAGTGCCAATTTAGCCGGCAGGGTGGACATCCAGGGACTTTTCAACATAGGACGACTCCAGGCAGGAACAAAGGTGTCGGCAGCTTCCATCACTGAACTTCAGTAAGCAGATGACCTCACCCTCGTTCAAACTGAAAGTGACCTACAGGAGATCCTGAACACCTAGCAGAAACGTAAACACAGTTCGGCCTTTAGGTGAATGCACATAGACTCAGATTCTCTTTCAACCTGCCCTTGGTTCAACCACACCTCCACCATCCATCCAGCTTAATGGCACTACTCTCTCTAATGTTACCCACTCCCACTACCTTGGTTCCCACCTGTCCACCACCGAGTACATCGATGAAATTCAACATCGGATCAGATGTGCATCTGAAGTCTTTGGCAGACTCCGCACCCATGTCTTCAGCTGTAGGGAGCTAAAATTATCTACAAAGTTGCACGTGTATCAAGCAGTGGTCCTCTCCATCCTGCTGTATGGCAGCAAGACATGGGTCACATACAGGAGGCACTTCAAGGCACTTTATAACTTTCACCAACGTAGTCTACGTTCCATCCTCTGAGTTCGCTAGGAAGACAAGGGAACAAATGCCAGTATTCTCACTGACACCAACTGTAGGAGCATCGAGGCTACCATTATCCTTGAAAAATTATGCTGGAC